TCACGCCTGTAATCCCAGCACTTTGGGAGGCCTAGGTGGGCGGATCATGAAATCAGGAGATTGAGACCATCCTGGCCAACATGGTGAAACCCCATCTCTACTAAAAATGTAAAAATTAGCCAGGCGTGGTGGTGCATGCCTGTAATCCCAGATACTTAGGAGACTGAGGTGGGAGAATCTCTCGAACCCGGGAGGCAGAGGTTGCAGTGAGCTGAAATCACACCATTGCACTCTAGCCTGGGCAACAGAGCCAGTCTCCATCTCAAAAATAATAATAATAAATATATGCAAAAATTAGCCAGGTGTGGTGGCGCACCCCTGTAATTCCAGCTACTCAGGAGGCTGAGGCAGGAGAATTGCTGGAACCCGGGAGGCAGAGGTTGCAGTGAGCAAAGATTGCACCACTGCACTCTAGCCTGGGCGATAGAGTGAGACACTGTCTTAAAAATAATAATAATAATATATATTATGTATTAATAACATATATTTCACATACTAATACATAATGTTTCATATATATGAGACAAGTTTATATATTTCACATACAAATACATGTTTCATATATATATATATATGACAACTTCCTGTATTGTATCAATAAGATAACCCCATTAGATGCATTATACTTCATATTCTTGAGAGCAACACATACTGGTTTGTATTCAGAGTGTACACCATTAATTAAATTAGCTAATATAGACTATCAAAAACGCCCTGCTCAAAACAAAATAAGTGTATAAAAATATTCCTCAAATTTCTTTCTTTTTTTTTTTTTAGATGGGTCTCACTATTTTGCCCTGGCTACCCTCAAACTCCAGATCCTCCCCCTTCAGCCTCCCAAGTGTCTGGGACTATAGGCATGCATGACCCCACCTGACTTCATATTTCTCAAACTTCTGTCACAAAATATGATCCCATATTTTTCTGTGAATGCATAAGATTTTATTAATGTTCATATAACCAGTGTATACAGGATTTCAAGTAGTTAGTCAATTGCCTCACAGAAAAAAATTCCCAAAGTAAAATTAGAGGGCCATGTTAGGCAACCTGAATTCTCTCTGAATAGGTATAACACCAGAAGTTTCACCTTAGTACCTTCTCCTTTTTGAGTGTTTAGGTGGGCAAAAGAGACTTAGGGGCATGAGATACAAGGCAGAGAGAAATCCAGCACAGGGGCTAAATCAACAGCAGGCCATGCGACCACAGTCTTCGTGTGCGGTGCTGCTGGAGCAGGGGATGGTGCAGGACTTGCAGTGGTTGTGTGCACTTTGTGGCCAACAATGCTGAGTCACGCCAGCATCACCCTCTAAGGGAACAATGCCAAAGGACAAGCTACCGCCTCTATGTATTTGTGGTGTTTACGACTCACTCCCAGGTAAATGCAGGCCTTTATTCATGCTTGGTGACTTTTCATGGTAATCATTCAAAATGTCCTAGTGTCATAATGCAATTAGAGTAGAATTCATCTTGAGTCACTAAAATTACATAATTACTAATATTAATCACAATTACTATCAAAGCTATGAACCAAATTCAAACTCAAACCTAGCAGCATCATAATCCTCGAAAATCAGATGCCCAAAGAGTAAGACCGGTGCCTCTTAAAAGTCAAACAATCCTTTGTATATTTAAAACAGGCTAAAATAAAAGCTGCTAAGATCTCAGTCAGACCAAGTCCCAGGGTCCGAGGAGATGCATTTGTCCTATGGCTGGAGCAACAAAAGCACAGCTGATAAAAAGAAGCAAACGAGCCATTATTCTTGTATTTTGTTGTCCTAGCCTTCTATGCTGTGGCTCTAGCACTTCTGCTTTCAGGGGACAAAACTAGGGTAGAAGGGTAACTATATTCTCCACTAAAGTTTAATGCTCAGAATAAAATAGTTACTTGAAGTGGGGAAAAAGATTTACCCTTTTCTTTGTGTTAACAATGAGGAAAAGTCCTGAAGCTTAGAAGAGTAAGGTATGGCCCGGCACTATGGCTCATGGCTGTAATCCCAGCACTTTGGGAGGCTGAGGCAGGAGGACTGCTTGAGGCCAGGAATTTGGCACAATACAGCCAGACCTCATCTCAAAAAAAAAAAAAAAAAAGGAAGAAGAAGAAGAGGAATAACAGAACTTCTTAACAAGATTTACCCATAATCATAACTGAAGCTCAACAGATTAAATAGCTTTTAAATAAAAGACACAGCAGAATGTGACCAAAGACAGAAGAGAATTATTTAACCACAGTTAATAATTTGCCTAGGCTCACCTTTCAATTGGTTTATTCAATAAAAGCACAGAAGAAATACAATGCAAGAGGGATTTAACTGGGGAGACTTGAAATGCATTTCAAAAAAAAAAAGTGTGTTTCACTAAATGAAAGAGCAGCAGAAGGAAGTTTTTCAGTGCAGAAAATAAGCCTAACTCTCCCTCTCAGCGCCTCAAAATCTATTTTCAGGACGATATCATTCAGACACATCTCAAAATTGTACCCACACTCCTGGGGTCCTTGGCCTGCCTGTGACCCTTGCCTAAACTTTGATACAGAGACGTGGTGCTCTCAAGGTCAAAAACTGCACCAGCCAAGCACACAAGTACTCAATGTTTCATCATCACCCTCTATCAGTCTGTCTAGGATTGTGACACTACTTCTCAGATGACTCCAAACACTAGTATGTATCAACAGGGCACACACCCCTTACTTAATACCCCTGGTACTAAGTACCCCTGGATACCCAAGCACCAAGTCAGGAGGGGAGCAGAGTTGCATACCATGCACATTTGTGGGATTAGCAGAGACGAAAGCAGTACATATCAGAGCCGAAATGAGATCTCACACTGTCCTTTGCTTATGCACCTATTTCAGTATTTATCACAGTGGTCTGTGAAATGCCTATCTCCCCACAGGGACCATGTCTTAATCAACTTTGGATCCTTTGTCAACCCTACATGTTGCAGTTGTTCAATAACTATGAGAGTCAATTTCCAATTTCACAGGCTACAAGGAAGGGCAGACACTCTGAATGAAATACGACAAATTTTGCAGGCATCAGCATTACTCTAAAATATTATTTCTATTTTCTCCTCCTGTTCACTTCCATTCTTTCCTGGAGATACCACAGAAAAGACAAAGATCAAAAACAGAAAAAGCAGATGTTTGACAAAGATTGCGATAAAAATAGTAATCCAGTAAGTGTAAACATTCAAAAAGTTCTCATTTCTGCATAGGCAAAAAAAAAAAAAAAAACTAAACCCATGCTACTGGACCCTCTCATCTACTGATTTTTTAATCCCATCACCTGCCAAATTGAAATACTTTTTGTCCTTTAAAACTCGTGGCCTGGCCGGGTGCAATGGCTGATGCCCTGTAATCCCAGCACTTTGAGAGGCCAAGGTGGGAGGATCGCTTGAGGTCAGGAGTTTGAGACCAGCTTGGCCAACATGGTAAAACCCCATCTCTACTAAAAATACAAAAATTAGCCGGGCATGGTGGCACACGCCTGTAGTCCCAGCTACTCAGGAGGCTGAGGCAGGAAAATTGCTTGAACCTGGGAGGCAGAGGTTACAGTGAGCCAAGATCTCGCCACCGCACTCCAGCCTCGGGGACAGACTGAGACTTTGTCTCAAAAGCAGAAAATTTAATTAATTTAATGTAAATAAGAAAATTAAATTAAATTAAAACTCATGGCCCAAAACATGTACCGCAATCACCCCAATATATTAAGGCTCACTGATTTTCACTCAAGATCAACAGCTCAGTCTCACCAAGCACAACAGAAAACCAGCAAGAAAGTTTGTTCTTTCCTTAAATCATAAGGACATACATTTTTAAAGGAACTCAGAATAATTTTTTTAAATTATAGATCTGTTATATCTCAGAGAAGGTATCTGGCAATAAAAAAACGATAAAATATAGCCAGAAATATCCAGACTTGGTAAAAATGTTATTGGTGATAATATTTTGGTGTTTAAGTATACACAATGAAGCTCTACTAGTTGCTTCAATCATTTGAAAATCATAATCCGATTATACAAAAATACTCCAATGTTTTCAGTCAAATATTTTGTTATTTCCAAAACTCGTTATAGAATACAATTTCTACAATTCCTTTTAGAAAAGCTTCCAGAAGATAAATTCCTTCCAACAAAGTATTTGATAGTTTGACTTTTTTTTTTTTTTCCAAATGAGGTCTCACTGTATTGCCCAGGCCAGAGTGCAGTGGTGTGATCACGGCTCACTACCGCCTCAACTTCCACGGTTCAAGCAATCCTCCCACCTCAGCCCTGCTCCTAGTAGCTGGGACTACAGGTGCGCACCACCACACTCAGCTAATTTTTGTATTTTTTGTTGAGACGGGGTTTCACCATGTGCCCAGGCTGGTCTTGAACTCCTGAGCCCAAGCAATCTGCCCGCCTCAGCCTCCCACAGTGCTGGGATTACAGGCGTGAGCCACTGCACCTGGTCAAGCATGTTTCTTTATTGCAGGACTTTTCTGAGCCTTTATTAGTATGCAATAGACTCTCCAAAAGGAAAGTGTAGTATGTGATGATTCCTAAGCTTATTTCACAAGAAAATTATTTTTTATTTCATGTATTACCAATCAGCCTTCAGGAGAAAAGAGTATTTTGAGAAACATACTTTGAGAATCACAAGTTGGTTAATGAAACCTCAATAATAGGTTTTAACTTGCAGGAACTCTCATTAGCCTTTTTCTTTTTCTTTTTTCTTTTGGCCATTGACTACATCTTTAAAACCATGGACAGCCATCTTCAAATGCATGCCCTTAGAAAGGAAAACAATACCTATAAGAACACATAGATGAGCTAACACATATTACCACCTTTACAATAAAAAGTCCATGAAAACTCAGGCAGCTGCTATTCTACACTGACAGAATTATGAAAGATCCAAAGCCTATAGAACATACTGCTCTCTGCATATTTCAAGTTCAAATTGGGTAGGTTTACATCTACGCAATTTGAATATGGTAACAATCATAAAGAAAAGGAAAACTTACCAACAGAAGCAGAGTTTTTAAGAATCGACTCCTTTGGGGTTCCTTTTTCAATTCGTATTGTGGCCCACTGTTCAAAAACAAGAAATACTAATTTAAACTGTTCCACAGACACAACATAAAGTACTTCAACCATATTATACACAAGTGAAATTACACATCAAGCTGTGACAGTATCTGAACTAAAGAGATAACCCCAGTGAATCTCTGATGTAGCAGTATTCCAAGTCCCAAGTATACTTTTATATCAGTTACTGATAATGCCCTAATAAAATGTGGAAAGGATAATATTTACCCTTTCTCAACCACCTCACATGCTTGGGTGTTGTGATAAATTACTCATTGAGAAGGCTGTGAAGCATGGGGGACTTGAGTACAGGTCACGGCATCAAGAATGTCTGGGTTTAAAATTACTTATTCCCTATAGGCCTCTGTTTCCTCATTGTAAAATAAGGATAATAGATCCTATCCTATAGGGTTGCTGTCACATTAAACAAGATGACACATATAAGGGCCTAAAACGTAGGGCATAAAGTATAACAATTATTTTCACAACAAATTAGACATTCGGGGTAGGACACACTCAAAGATGCATCAGAAATAAGCTTGCAGAAAGAGGCAGCACAGACTTGGAAAGTTAGAAAGGACTCGATGAAATCATTAACTAAGGCACGATTGGCTCACGCCTGTAATCCCAGCACTTTGGGAGGCCGAGGAGGGTGGATCATTTGAGGTCAGGAGTTCAAGACTAGCCTGGCCAACATGGCAAAACCCCATCTCTACTAAAAATACAAAAATTAGCCAGGCATGGTGACGCATGCTGGAGCTACTCTAGAGGCTGAAGCAGAATTGCTTGAACCAGGGAGGAAGAGGCTGCAGTGAGCAGAGATCGGGCCCCTGCACTCCAGCCTAGGCAACAGAGTGAGACTCTCTCAAAAAAAAAAAAAAAAAGAAAAGAAAAAGAAATCATTAACTACAGAAAATCATCTGTCCACATGGTTACTTATGAAGATGCATAGGAAAATGTTATAATTATGAAGATCTACAGATTTTAGGGAATTTAAGAACTGGAAAACAACTCTCGTGTTGTTTTGAAGGTACCTAGGAATATAAAAAAATGTACCCAGAAGTAATTTTTAAAATTTTTTTCTTTATACATTTTTTACACACTTTCCAAATTATTCACTATTAACATCATAATTCAAAAACTGCTAGTGAACTTTTCAAGTCTCTCATTCTAGAGAATCCCCAGGGCTCTTACACTAAAAAGTATCGTAATAATTATAATTGAACATAAGCA